GTGGAAGGAGGAGATTGAAGAAGAAGACAAACATAGCCGGGGGTGAACAAAAAAAAAATAAAAAAAATAGAGAAGAAGAAAGAAGGTGAAGGAAGGGGGAGTAGACGGCGAGGGTGACGAAGGTGAAGGTGCCGGCAGCCATAGCCGAGGTGAGGAGTTGACCAGAGCGTTGACCAGAGCGTTGACCAGAGGGTTGACCAAGGGTTGACCAGGCGTTGACCGAGGGTGTTGACCAAGCGTTGACTGGGGGTTGCTCGTGTTGACTCGGCGTTGACCAAGGCGTTGACGGGAGTTGCTGCTGACCAAGATTTTGACCAAGCTGGAGTTGGTGATACCTCGTTGACCCCTCAGCCTATTCCCTTACCCTATGGATGTGCACACCCCTACGGTACTTGCTGAATTGAGTCTGTCTGTCTTCCTTTCTGCATTGAGTCTCTTCTGTCCTAGGTGTTAGGACTCTGTGGATGAAGGATAGGGCCTTGCTGCCAAACCTGCACGGGACTTAGTAGGACCAAAGCTCTACTCTGGCACTTGGAGACATGGGCATGAGCGGCGAGCGCTCGTTAAACAACTCGTCTAGCCCAATGACCGGTACTGTCCGGCAGGTCTACTGAGTTCAGTGTAGCGGGTCTGAACTCCGAGCTGTGGGCTGAAACGAGGGCCGTCTTTAAGTATTGAGGCCTGGTTGAGCCACTCCCCTACCAGACCTAGTAAGGTTGATGATCTGTGTCTGACGACTCGACTGTCCTGAGGGATACGGACCCCTCCAAGGACCGGTACAGACCGGCGGGCTGCTCGGTGTGGCACAGTAGGCCGGAACGGCTGAGTTGTGGGCTGAAATTGCCAGGAAGGACCAAGCTGATCACGTCGTCCTGTCTGCGACGTCAAAGAATTCTTGAGGAGTTACGGGGGATCTCCTTAAATGCCTCCAGATCAGCTGCTGGTTCTGTAGTGACAGCCTTAGAGTAGTCTTGGGTTAGTGRCCATAGTTGACAGGGTCTTACCCTGTGGTCCTTAGAGAGTCAGTCAGTAGGTCAGTGTGTCCGGGTAGGTCTACGTGGTGAGGAGTGGGACCCCTGTCGTGCACCAACACCACGATGGACGACTACCCAATGTATGGGTTGCTGGTTGGGTTCTCCCTCTGGGGGACCCTCTGGCGTCTCCTCTTTCCTCTGGGATTTTGGCATACCTTTGCGTGTAGAGTAGGGCCCACTCGAGGTGGTACCGCCACCCAACCATACACGAAGGAGGAGGAGGAGAAGATGACCGCCATCCTGTAGGAGAGGAAGGAGAAGAAGGAGGTAAAGAAGAAAGCCTTGAAAGAGGAATAGGCGACCAAACTAAAGAAGATGGAAGAAGAGATGGCCAGGGAGAAAGAGAGGTTGAAAAAGGAAGAAGAAGAGAAGCTGAAGGAGGTGGATGAAGAAGGACCGCCACTGCAAAAGAGTGGGCAGCACAGCGGCAGCAGCAGTGATGAGATGGAGAAGAAGATTTCGGAGTGGGTCGCCAACTTATCCCTAGGTGAGGAGGAAGAGGTTGCTATGTACATCCCCAAGGATGAGCGAGAAACCACCATGAAGAAATGGGAAGCAGAAGAAGATGTTCTGACGCGGCGGGCGATGGAGGATGAACACAGGATGGCATGGAAGCTCGCAGTGATGAGGGAGAAGAAGAGAAGAGTGGAGGCGGCGAATGCGGCAATGCAAGAACTAGCGGAGGTGAGGACTGCCTTAACAACACAATTGACTCCGCAAGTAGATCTCCAACGCAAAGTGGAGATCATCGCCCAGAGCGTTGACCGGTTAGCTAAAGTGCAAGAANTGCCTTAACAACACAATTGACTCCGCAAGTAGATCTCCAACGCAAAGTGGAGATCATCGCCCAGAGCGTTGACCGGTTAGCTAAAGTGCAAGAAAAGCACTATGAGTTTAGTCGTAGCCAGGAGATATCCGTGTGTTCGATGCGAACGGGATTACGGGATTTTGCTTGCGAACTAGTAGGCGCTGTGGGATCCGAGGTGAGTCATCGCCTCGAGAAGACTGAGCGTTTTTGTGTCGGCGCCATCGAAGGCGTCAAGGTGGCCGCTCCCAWGGAGGAGGAGGCCTGTCCTCGCAGGGAGCCAGTCAAAGTCAAATTCCCTGATTCCTACAGTGGGAAAAGGGATGAGAACTTTGACAACTGGGAAGCTAACGTTAAGACCTATGTGCACTTGCAACAGGTCTCCCCGGATCAGCAGGTTCTGATTGCGATCCACGCGCTGAGAGATGAGGCCGCCAGTTTTGCAAGGTCCGTAGTTCGCGCTACCAGCTGTAGTGATGATCCCGTTGCGTACTCCTCATTTACGTCCCTCACTGAATTCTTGAAGTTGCTGCGCGAGCGATTTGCTGATGTCGCTCGCAGTGTCAAGGCCTCAGACAAGCTCCAAACCATCCATTCTCGTAAATGGAAGAGTGTCAGGGCACTCAAGGGTACAATGGATGAGTTGGTGGCCGTCCCTGACCACGGGGTCACAGAGGGCCAATTGGTCAACCTCTTTTACCGGGCTATGCCCGAAGCCTTTCGAGGGCAGTTCTTCGCGAAGAGCGAAGATCCTGCCACCACTTACGATTCCCTTAGCCGTGAAGTGGTGGCTTTTGAAGCGAAGTCCGTGTCCCTGTCTACCTTCTGGCACAAGGACTTGGACAGGGGAAAGCAATGGAAAGGYCGCMCTATCTCAGGGCAGGTAAAGACTAAGGACAACCTTGTCCTGACTTTAGATGAAGGTAGTGTGGATGAGATCCCCTACGATCAGATTGAGTGGGGGCAAGAGGGGGAGGACAACGGTGTGGGCCAGGGGAGATCCTACGCTGCTGTCGCGGCTGGAGGGAGGCCGCAAGGAGGAAGAGGCCAGGGCCAAGGGGGCCGGGCCTCAGGGAACCGATTCCAGGGCGATCAGGGGGTTGGCGTCAGAGGAGGAAACCGCCAAGCAAGAGGCAGGGGTGAAGGTCCCTCGCAAAACCATCCTAGGAATAGGTCTCCCTATAGAGTAGGAGGATGGCACCCAGGGCTACCTTAGGGTAGGCCGTGGGAATCTTTGGGTCTGGACCAGGCTTTATGGCAACAACGATTGAACCGGGGCCAGTGCATTTTCTGCGGTGACCCGGGGCATATCATCAAATATTGTCCTAAGTATCGAGAGACCCGAACGGCTGCTCAAGAGCCAAAAGGCAGCCGCCGGTAGGGGTAGCAACTGCCCCTACCACTAGGCCATGTGGGGAAAATAGCGCTAGCCGGCAGGAGACTCCCATACCACACGTGCCTACGACAGAGGTTGCAGGCCGGTGTCTAAACAACTGTCCCGAGACTGCTTGTGTTAGAGTTTCGCTAGACACCTCCCTCACAGGCGTGGTGGAAGAGTTGAAGGAGAGGAGGCCCGCCTGGGCCAAGATGAAGAAGGAGAATAAAGGGCATCTGATTTTATTAGATGCAGAGATTTTTAGAAGTAGAGTAGGGGCCCTAGTAGACTCAGGGGCCACCCGCAACTATATTAGTAAGCAAGCGCTGCAAAAGTTGAGGCTGGGACTTAAGGTCCAGAAACTGACAGACCCCATAGTTAGTATCCTCGCAGACAATCATACCATGGTTGTAGAGGATTACGTAGAGGGAGTTCAGGCGTATTTCCGCCTAGAGAAAGATGGGAAGGTGGAGAAGGTCCTCCACTCCCTGACTCTCCTCGTAGAGGGCAGCCTCCCGTTTGATATAGTACTGGGAATGGATTGGGGAGAGGCAGCCGGGGCAACGCTCCATCTGAAGGAGCACGAGTGTAGACTCCCTAGTTCTGCAGGCGAGGCTAAGACTGCCCGCCTGTTTCATGTGTCAGGAGTAGAGAATTCCTTGGCACATTGCTGCCTTAGTGCCACTGCGTTCGCCAGATTGGTGGAGAAGGAGAAATTAGAGGAACAGGTCTTTGTTGCCTATGTTAGGCCCGTCACTGAGCCTACGGAAGAGAAGCCGCTGGACCTTGCGATTGCCAAGCTGCTGGAGGAGTTTGAGGATTTGACTGAGCCGCCGACAGGCACGGTGCCGCGGCCCATCCAACACCATATCGAGATAGAGCCTGACAGTAGAACTCCTAAGGGTGCTGTGTATAGGATGTCCCCGCGGGAGTTAGAGGAGCTTCGCAAGCAATTAGACGAGCTCCTCGAGAAGGGTTGGATTAGGCCCAGTTCGTCTCCTTTCGGAGCGCCTGTTCTCTTTGTTTCTAAGAAAGAGGGAGAGTTGTGAATGTGCATAGACTATAGGGGTCTGAATGCTATTACAGTAAAGAATGCTGAGCCATTGCCTAGGATCGACCATCTCTTAGATCGAGTGCAGGGGGCTAAGTCCGGATATCATCAGATAGAGGTACACCCTGATGATCAGTATAAGACAGCCTTCCGGACTAGGTACGGGCATTATGAGTTTATAGTGATGCCCTTTGGACTAACCAATGCGCCAACAACTTTTCAGCGGTGTATGAATGATTTGTTTAGGCCGTGGTTAGACAGATTCGTTGTAGTTTATCTAGATGACATCCTAGTGTTTAGCTTGACCCTCGAAGAGCATCAGGGGCATCTCAGGCAAGTCTTGGAGAAGCTGAGAGAAGCTAACTTCAAGATCAATGCAAAGAAATGCGATTGGGCGAAGTCCCAAGTTTTGTATCTAGGCCACGTCTTAGACAGAGACGGCGTTAAGCCAGAAGATAGCAAGATCGCAACGATTAGAGATTGGCCCACGCCACGTACACTGACAGAGTTGCGCTCGTTCCTGGGCTTTGCGAATTACTACAGGAAGTTCGTAAGGAACTTCTCCACCATCGCTGCGCCCCTTCGCAGATTGCTGAGAAAAGAGACAATCTGGAAGTGGGACAAGGACTGCACGTCCGCCATGAAGAAGCTAAAGCAGGCGTTGATAGAGTGTCCGGTCCTTAAGGTCGCCGATCCGTCCTTGCCTTTTGTTGTTACTACGGATGCTAGCTAGTACGGCATAGGCGCAGTGTTACAACAAGACGATGGCAATGGCTATAGACCCGTAGAGTTCATGTCCGCTAGGATGCCTTCAGAGAAGGTTGCGACATCTACCTATGAGAGGGACCCAGGCCAAGATGACACCTAAGCTTACTAGGTGGGCCGCAGAGATAGATCAATACGACTTCGAGCTCAAGCCTGTCAAAGGGAAGTACAACGTAGTCGCGGATGCTCTGAGTAGGAGAGTAGATTACTTTGGGGCAATAGTACATTACCTCGATATAGGAAAGGATCTGCAGCAGAAGGTTAGAGAAGCCTACGCGCAGGACCCTATCTATAGTGAGCTCCTCACGCGAGTCAAGGGGGCCCCAGAGACCGAGCCGAACTATCGCACTACTGGAGGGTTACTCTTCGAGAAGACTAATGTCTTTGACCGGTTGTGCATCCCCAATAGGGAAGAGATCCGTAGTCTGATTATGGGGGAATGTCACGACACAGAGGGTCATTTCGGTTGGCAAAAGACTTTGGCCAATCTGATGCGCGCGTATACCTGGCCAGGGATGAAGAATGACTGCGTAGAGTATGTTCGCAGTTGCAAAGTCTGGCAGCGTAATAAGAGTTCTACGCGCGCCCCGCTAGGTCTTCTCAGACCCTTGCCCATTCCGGATCAGCCGGGAGACTCAGTGTCAATAGATTTCATGGACACTCAAGTCAAGAGCAGGCATGGCAAGAGCCAAGTCATGGTCATAGTTGACCGCTTTAGCAAGTACGCAGTTTTTGTTCATACAGAGGATCTTTGGCTTTTGGATTAGTGAGAACGGAATCCCGCTGTCTATAGTTAGCGATAGAGATAGTCGCTTTACTAGCCAGAACTGGCAAGAACTCATGGGAGTATACGGATCTAAGTTGTTGATGTCGTCCGGCCGCCATCCAGAGACTAACGGTCAGACAGAGCAAATGAACAAGATCCTACAGCAAGTTCTGCGCATGTATATTAGGCCAGATCAGATCAACTGGGATGAGATGTTGCCTAAAGTAGCTAGTGCGTACAATAACAGCGTGCATCTAGCCACCTGCCGCACTCCCAACGAACTGCACAAGTCCTTTAGACCGCGCAGACCGTTTGAGGGACTCAACCGGGATCAGATTCAGAGATTGCCGCCGGGGATCCGGGAGTTCGCTGTACAGCACGAGAAAGAACTAGCTATTGTTGTAGAAAACCTCAGGAAAGCCCAGCATAGGATGATAGAACAAGCAAACAAACATCGTCACCCTTCACAGTTTCAAGTAGGCGACTTAGTCTGGGTTAGTTGGAAAGAGTTTGCACCTGAGGAGAACATCTCGCAGAAGTTACTGCCCACATATAGAGGACCGTGGCTTGTTCTTGAAGTCAAGGGCGGTGAAGATGGACCGTCCTATACAATAGAACTACCAGCACACCTCCACACGTATCCAGTTTTCCACGCATCGAAGTTGCTACCTTGTCAAACAAGTGATCAGTTTCCATCCCGTAGATCAATGATCCCACCTGATATGGATGGAAGGTATGACATAGACGGTATAGTGGCTGAGGATGTCTTCAAAACCGGAGGTAGGGGTCGTCCGCAAAAACAGTACAAGGTTCATTTTAGTTATCAAGAACCGGAAGACGACCGCTGGTTTACAAGATCTGAACTTCTAGAGACAGCTCCCGATATAGTCCGGGCCTATGAAAGACAGCAGAAGGGTAAAGGTCCTGCCTTGGACTGAAATTTTGGTGAATACCGTTTCACTCCCGCCGGCCTAAATTCGAGGTCCTCCGAGAAAATGCAGATCCCAGGGCTCGATCCCTAGTTCCCCATCTTACCTGTGTACAGTATTGATGACAACCCGTAGATTTGAACCTGTGACCTGTCGAAACGCCAGTGGTAGGTAGATTGTCGTAGGTCACAGCTTMGAAGGGAATYGAACTGTAGACCTGTAGGGTAGGAGTCTAGACAGTTCCGAAGTCGTAGCTGTAGGATGTCTGAAGGGTCAAGGTCGTAGCTGCTACTTACCTGAAAGGGCAAAGTCGTAGCTGCTACAGTACCGAAAGGCCAAAGTAGAAGTTTCTAGAACTGGCCTTTCGGAGTCAGCCCCTGTTTAGGTGGAGGCAAGTGGGCAAGTGGTGTAGGTCCACTACGCAGAGTCAGCAGTCCCAGGTAGCCCAGTCCGGTCCAGTCAAGCAGGTACCGTCTGGGACTGTGCACATCGTGGGCCAAGGGATACAGGGCAGACCAACGCCGCACAGAAGTATAAATCAAGAGGCTGCGTCCAGCCATTCATTCATTCCTGCGGATGCCATGCGGAAGCGCTGCCTCAGCAGCTTGTGCGAGGAGGTCTGCAGTGTG